TCTATCGATATTTTGTAGTTATGATAGCATTTACACGAAAACACAATTGAGATTTCAGTTTGATGACTTGAGACTTCGTTGACGTGCTCTTGTTTTGTCCCTAATGCGTCTGTCTACCTGTTCTAATCAGCACGTTTTAACCACTCGGAACAATCTATTCCTCGTCTCTTGTAAAACTGTATTCGCTTTGCGTTGTTAGTTACACTAGAACCGGACGAATTTCGGACAGTACCATTTTTCTCGGAACTGTATTAATTCGGGACGTGACCACTTTTAGCCCGTTCCACCTTAGAAAAATTATTGTAAAGGCTAAAAAAGTGTAAAACAACAATTTAACGACGTTTTTGCTCCTTAATTTTAAATAACACGTGGGTTCCGCTACTTTACCGGCACAAAACCTTCAATTCATATCTGTTTTATCAAAATTTATGACCTCCGAACTCGTTAAGCACGTACGGGAACGCAGTTTGTCACCAGTCATCATCAATAAAAAAGCTGTCTCACTTTTTCGCTTCGCAGCAACAATTCTTGAATTCGTTATTTTGTCTTTGGAGCACCGGACGCAAATAGGCAACTTCACAATATGTTAATTATCGCTACCCTATCATATTTGTTCATTATTTAGTGTCTCGGACACACAGGGCGCCGACTAATCAATATGAAACAGCTGTCATTAAAGTGGCAAAACCTACGCCAAGTTTGAACTTTGCTTCTTTATGTATATGTAATTATAGAACCAATTATTTAGCTCGCCCGCTTACCGATTTTGACACGACGTGTAACATTTTTAGGAATTCAAACCCGCTTTGCCCTTTCACCAAACCAACCAACCAAAATCAGAGCAAAAAAAAATCATCAGTTTTCAATTCAACGGACAATATTTCCAATTTTTTTTGTGTTGTAGTTGACGATGTTTTTGTCATTTTGATACAACATAGTCATTATATTTAAGCCGTGTAAAGCATTGACAATATCGGAAAGCAAAAATAATTCATTAATCTTAGTCAATGAAATTTATTCTCGTAACGAAAGTCGTGATGAATATGAAAATTATATTGCATGATACGATCCTGCTTACCTACCGTGTGCATTCAGAGCAAATAAGCGGTCTATTTAGAGTAATTTCATAGATATGGGATATGGGTAATATCTAATTCAAATTAAAAACAGAAATCAATAACATAATGACTCATCCAGCAATCAATAAATAAAATATGAATAATTTAGCGGTATTAAACTACAAAAGTAATCCGGACATCAAATATTTTTATTCATTCTGTTTTGTCGTAAATAACAGAATAACAAATAATAATTACAATGCAATATGTACGACATTAAATCTTTAACCTTAAATGAAAATCAATATTAAAGAGAATAGCGTTCAAACTGACGTAAAACGTTTTCCACGTTGCATTCCAATAAACTATTTTTATTTAAATTTGTCACAAAATAATAAACGACTTTATAAATGAGTTTCGCTTGTTTTATCATATCAGTATTGTTGTGTTTAATCAAAAATTAGAGCTTTGCATGCATGTTTTGTCGGGCTAATTCAATAACCGATGGCCACGGATAACCGATTTCCACGGAATTTTGGGTGAAGATTAGAAACGAAACGTCAGGGCAGCAGCTGAAACAGTAGCGACTTGTGTTGTAAGTTTTTCTAGTTGCTACTGTTCTCTCGGTAGAATACACAGACTACAATAAATCAAGCGAGTTTTTTCTTTCCGATGTCTTGTTAAGGAGAATGTAAGAAAACAAACTACGAGGTAAACATGTAGCATGAGGGCTCAATATTTAGACTTTTCTTAACCTTACTGCTACATGGGTCATTAACAATGCTATTTGCTTGTTCTGACAGGCGCTTTTAATTTTTGTCGATTTTTTGCTTTCCGAAATAGTTGGATACCGTATAAGGGTACTATGCATTTTAGTTAAAATTCCTACTACATGTTTGAATACCGGCCTATGCAGACGCTCCTGCAGGTAGCAAACACCTTGGGTCATTTTTTCCAAATGCCCGTAGTGTATGTTTGTCAAGTCAGATTAATCAAGCCATTAACACTAAAACTAGTAACATTTTAGTTTTTAAAACTGTAATCAAACAAATATATACATAGTGCGAATTTGGGTTCTGTTTTGACATTTGCGTCTGCTTAGCCAGGCATATTGTAATTACAATTATAAGAGGATTCTACCCTTCACTTTGTTCATGACGTCATACGTGTATTGTAAGTGTCGTTTTATGTTAAATCAATATTACATGCCAGCTTCAGCTCAAATTCACCCTTATAACAACAAACAAGTTAATGTATACATAATTACACTGTTTGTTTAAATTTATTTTGAAAATACAGGCTGAACGCGCCGTTTCAATATATTAAGGACGCTTTTGCCACAATAATCTTTTGCTTTTGACACGTAGTTGGATAGTTTTTTGCGAAGCGAAAAATCGGGATTTTCGCAAAAAATTATTCGCAGACAACTCAAAAAAGCGTTAATTTAATTTCATCTATTTTTTGTTTATTTAGGACCCGACAAGTTCAGTAAATTTTCATTGTGGAATAGGATGTAAACTCTGGTGGCCATTAGCAAATTAAATTAAACTGTGCAATCGCTAAATTTAATTATTTTGATAGATCAATAATAGAAATTGGTTGAATGATTTATTTAGAGAAAGGTGACTCACAAACTGTATGAAATGTTTTCTCAATAATGTAACGTAATGATGAAACGAGTGGTATCGCAGGTCATGTCTGATAATAACAGAACGTGATTATGGAACGCCGTTGTCTTACTTCCAAATTCTTGTGTCACGTTTAAATGCCAGCGCTAAAAAAAATGTGAGTAAAAAGTAGACCGCGTCGACTTGATATTTATATTTTGGTTTATCATGAAGAGTAGCTAGAGACTTCAAACAGGCGGGGTTTTTCTAGAGTCTACAGCGAAATATTTTCGAAAAACGTATTTAAACAGTTTCTAATTTGTTATTTGCTCATCCCCCCTAAAAAATTAATGACGTCACCTCAAAATTTTGCTGAACAAATCCTATCTTAAATTTGCAAAGTGTGATAAGTGTTTTATCATTGCATTAATATTTTTTAGATTTGCTTATACAGGACGTCTTAAAAAAATTAATGACTGAGACAATTTATTTTATTGTTTAAATCAAGAATAGCAAAACTGAATACTTTGAAATCTTGCAGACTTAACTAAATACATTCTCTTGTAGATTTTTGGCCGCAGAAGTCACTTCTGGCTTCATTTCTTCGATAACTTAAACTGAATCGTCTCTTGAAATATCACAATTTTTGAAAATTTCGAAAAATTTGAATTTCACACAGAATTTTCCGAAAATATTGCTCCGTAACCATCAACACGTTATATTTCCGGACTAAGCATGTCGATATTCACGTCCCTGAATTTTTTCGCAATTTTTAGACAACTTTTTTAAAAGTGAAAATTTTTCAAATTTCGGCCAAATTTTGACATTTTCGAAACTTAACTAAATATATTTTCTTATACATTTCGAGTTCTAGAACACACTTCCGGTTTCGTTTCTTTGATAACTGCAACCGTTTTCCCAGAATCGACCGTCGAAATATCGAAACTTTTAGAAATTTTCAAAAATTCGCGTTTCATACCGATTCTAGCGAATATTTTGTTCCAGGACGATGAACATTCTATATTTTTGGAATCAGCAAATCGAGATCTACATCCCTGGATTTTTTCATGATTTTTAGACTACTTTTTTTTTAGGGAAATTTTTCCCCCTTCTTCAAATTTCGGCCAAATTTTGACATTTTCGAAACTTTACTAAATACATATTCTTGTAGATTTCGAGCTCTAGTACTCACTTCGGGCCTCGGTTCTTTGATAACTGCAACTGTTTTTCCGGAATCGGCCGTTGAAATATAGAAATTTTTAGAAATTTTCAAAAATTCGCATTTCGTGTCGATTTTTTCGAAAATTCTTCTCCGTGACCATCAACACGCTATATTTTTGCAATCAGCATGTCGAGATCTACGTCCCTGAATTTTTTCGCAATTTTCAGACAACTTCTTTAAAAGTGAAATTTTTTCAATGGTCCCCCCTTCTTCAAATTTCGGCCAAATTTTTACATTTTCGAAACTTAACTAAATATGTTTTCTTGTACATTTCGAGTTCTAGAACACACTTCCGGCATTGTTTCTTTGGTAAGTGCAACCGTTTTTCCGGAATCGACCGTTAAAATATCGAAATTTTCAGAAATTTTCAAAAATTCGCATTTCGTACCGATTTTTTGGTAAATGTTGCTCCGTGGCCATCAACATGTTATATTTTTGGAATCAGCATGTCGGGATCTACGTCCCTGAATTTTTTCGTAATTTTTAGACAACTTTTTTAAAAGTGAAAATTTTTCAATGGTTCCCCCTTCTTCAAATTTCGGCCAAATTTTGACATTTTCGAAATTTAACTAAATGCATTTTCTTGTAAATTTGTAGCTCTAGAACCCACTTCCGGCTTGGTTTCTTTCATAACTCCAACCGTTTTTCCAGAATCGTCCGTTGAAATATGAAAATTTTTAGAAATTTTCAGAAATTCGTACCGATTCCTAAGAAAATGTTGCTCCGTGACCATCAACACACTAAATTTTTGGAATCAGCACTTCGGATATATATCCCTGAATTTTTTCAGAATTTTGAGACAACTATTTCAAAAATGAAATTTTCCACTATGTCTACCTCCCTCATGCAAATTTCCACCCATTTTTGACGATTTTGGAAATTTAACTAAATACTTTTCCTTGTAGATTTCGGGCCGCAGAATTATTTTTTTCCAGAATTAGTTAATTAATTCATTGCATTGAAATATCGCAATTTTTAAAAAATTCAAAAAATTCAATACAACACCATTACATAGTTTTTGTTCGTTATTAAAAATTAACATGTGGGTATAAACTTGACTTCTATTGTATTGTTCTTTCTCTTCACAAAAATTTCATGTGTTTTTTGTTGCAGTGGGTTCGTAAATGAAGATGAGGGGATTCGCTAATTGTAGCAGAAGAAGAAGCCTAAAGTTTAGAATTTTGCATTAATTTTAAATTAGGTGTTGTTTTTTTAAATTTTTCCTTTACCTTTCGTGAAGGTTATTTTGATCGGTATTTAGTTTTATCATTTTTTTTACGTCTTGATATATACCGGGTGTCTGGAAAATGGCGGATTAACGCTCTTAACAATCTGGTGAGGCGGGGAAAAATAGTAAAAAAAATCGTTCTCACATTTTAGTGGAGTTATTATTTTGAAATTAGTTAGCTAGCCCCGCCCACCCGCCCTGTATTTTCTTAGCGAGTATGTTATTTGCCAAAATCGTTCTTATCTTAGCAAATACTAACCCCGCCCACCCACCCTCTCTTTTCTTAGAGGTCATGCCATTGGCCAAAATCAGTTGTATCTTAGCAAATAGTGATGATTAACTTTTACAAAAAATGATCAAAATTTGTACACATTACGAGTTTAATTATATGCACAAGGCAGGAATTTTGAACATTTTCATGTTTAGTTGGTTATACTTTAATGGATTTTTCTTTTGTTGTTTTTTTTTTCGAAACATAACGTACTGAAGAGTTAATCCGCCATTTTCCAGACACCCGGTATTTTGTAAGTATTTGGTTTAATTTTTTATACACTCTTTTCCTTATTTGCCTATCTTCAGACAACTTTTTCCTTTTGATTTTTCGTAAAGGAGTACAAAATTTCGTTTTTTTCAATTTTTATCCAAGAATATTTAAACTATATATTTTTAGTTGTTTATAAACTGTTCTATTTAGTGTTTGATTCTGTTTACAATCTATTTTAAACATGTCATTAAATTGTATGTAAAATAAAGTTGGCCGGTTTTTTTATCGTATCAACAATACAATACAGCCTCATTTTAACCCCCATTTTTAGAACGACATATATTTAAATTTTTAAAAATTCGCATTTCGTACCGATTATTGAAAAAATGCTCCTCCGTGACCATCGCAACGCTATATTTTTGGAATCAGCGGGTCGAGATCTACATGGCTGAATTTTTTCAGAATTTTTGGACAACTTTTTTAAAAGTGAAAATTTTCCAATGGTCTTCAAATTTCGGAAAAATTTTGAAATTTTCGAAACTTAACTAAACACCTTTTCTTGTTGATTTCGCGGTCTAGAACTCATTGCCGGCTTCGTTTTTTTGATAGCTGCAACGGTTTTTCCAGAATCGACCGTTGAAATATCGAAATTTAAAAAAAAAAAATTTAAATTCTTAAAAATTCGGATTTCGTGCCGACTCTTTCGAAAATGTTACTCCGTGACCATCAGCAGGTTACATTTTTGGAATCAGCGTGTCGAGATCTACGTCCCTGAATTTTTTCATAATTTTGAAACAACTTTTTTAAAATTGAAATTTTTTAATGGTCTGAAATTTCAAATTTCGGAAAAATTTTGCAATTGTCGAAACTTAACTAAACACTCTTGTAGATTTCGAGCTCTAGAACTTATTTCCGGCTTCGTTTTTTTTATAGCTGCAACCATTTTTCCAGAATCGACCGTGGAAATAACGAAATTTTTTAAACTTTTTTAAATTCTTAAAAATTCGGATTTCGTGCCGATTCTTTCGAAAATGTTAATCCTTGACCATCAACAGGCTATATTTTTGGAATCAGCGTGTCGAGATCTACGTCCCTGAATTTTTTCATAATTTTGAAACAACTTTTTTAAAATTGAAATTTTTTAATGGTTCTTCACATTTCGAAAAAATTTTGAAATTTTCGAAACTTAACTGAACACATTTTCTTGTACATTTCGAGCTCTAGAACTCATTTCCGGCTTTATTTTTTTTATAGCTGCAACCGTTTTTTCAGAATCGACCGTGGAAATAACGAAATTTTTTAAACTTTTTAAAATTTTTAAAAATTTGCATTTCGTACCGATTATTTCGAAAATGTTAGTCCTTGACCATCAACAGGCTATATTTTTGGAATCATCGTGTCGAGATCTACGTTCCTGAATTTTTTCATAATTTTGAAACAACTTCTTTAAAATTGAAATTTTTTAATTGTTCTTCAAATTTCGGAAAAATTTTGAAATTTTCGAAACTTAACTGAACACATTTTCTTGTACATTTCGAGCTCTAGAACTCATTTCCGGCTTTGTTTTTTTATAGGTGCAACCGTTTTTCCAGAATCGACCGTGGAAATAACGAAAACTTTTTAAACTTTTTTAAATTCTTAAAAATTCGCATTTCGTACGGATTATTTAGAAAATGTTGCTCCGTGACCATAAAAAGGCTATATTTTTGGAATCAGCGTGTTGAGATCTACGTCTCTGAATTTTTCATAATTTTTAAACAACTTTTTTAAGTTTTTAAAATTTCGGTATTCTAGGTGATCAATTTCTTTCACACTAAATATTATCGAGTTCTTTTAATTTCAACTAATTCATCTACTCCATTTTTGACACACGTTTTCCTTTTCTTTATTTAAATGCCCACCAGCTACACTGTGTCAATATAAACTCGTTAAATTTTACTGTATTGTTTTCTGGGGTCCAAATTTTAACATATTTTTCTGTTTTTAATTAAAATTCTTATTTCATAAATAAGATAACTAAGACATAGTAATAAAAGATAATTCTTTTTTTTTTAGTTAATAAGTTAACTGAAGAAATTTAATTATCAGTTTTTCCTGCATCTCTCGTTATTATTCTCTCGTCCCTGAAATAAAGTAAAGCATCCTAGTTTTTCGAAAACTTATAAAATTTGATTTTGCCGATTTTATTTTTTTTAAAAGAACCCCTATAAGTTAAAACAAAGATATTAAAGTAAATGTAACAAATCACGTATCAATTTGGATAGATGCAGTGCAATAGTAATAATAAAAATATTGTATTCCCAAAATTTCGAGAAAATGAAGTGAGTCGGTTTTGATTTAATCATAAAATAAATTGTGAACTCTTTTTTTCGTAGTAACTAGTGTTTACACTTTATAACGAACATATTGCTATATATGTGGTTTATGAGTCTGCTTTGATTTGATCACAATTACTTTAGATTTTTTATGTTGTGTGTCGAGTGTTGGATTGGAAAAACGCGGTATGCGTGTGAGTGTGTGGCCCCGGCTCATTTGTAACCGCAAAAGAGTGTACTCTTTTTCCCGGGAAATAAATGTTATTGTGGAGGTGGTAATAAATTGTCCGTATAATATGTCTGTTGAGTTTGGATCAGGTGCTTTAATTTTGTCGCGCGTTATTTAGTCTAGGTAGAGGTGAACCCACACGCAGAATGGCGACAGTAAATATGTATCGGTCAAAGTGGGCCTTAATTCGAAGCCGGCGATTTGGCGTGGTAGGAGTGCGAAGGCCTTTGGCAGCGCGGCCTTTTTTTATTCCTCGGCCGTAATAAATATGCATCGATATTTTTGGGGTGGTCGTCCTCGTTGATAAACTATACAATTAATTCGGAGAATCGCTTTAAAAATGTTAATAATAAATAAATGTTTAATTACATAAACGTCGAGCCGGCAATCAGAATAAAAATCAGCGAGAGGTAGGGTCAAGTTTTAAAATCAATTAAATGTCGTAGAGTGGAGGCTGCATTCAGGTTTTAAAATTACGGATAATAATCTGAAGTGTAATATTTATTTGGTAAATTAAAGTCTGCCGCGAGTTGGATAAATCGCGAATTTTTGCATCGATTACATCACAGGTATTGAGCATGGATGTAACCGCTGCCGTGCTGCTCTCTACGTATTCTTCCAGAGACCCCGATTATGTTCAATTAAACGTCTCAAGTCAACCGGACCGGTTTACTCCGATCCGTTGAGATTCTACTAATGATTCTATTTCGTTTGCGCGACTGCATTCGTTACCTTTTTTAACTACCATCTCCATAATTGCACTACCGATTCTACCATTCTGCCGCTCACGCCAAAATATTTACACATTGATATCGCACATAAATATTCAATATCACCTGAATATTTATGAGAGTCGAACTCTATTCGTTACACGTATTATATTCTCTTCTATCTAAAACACCTCCAAAATTTCGACAATCCCACTTCTAGACATTCGATCCGATAATGATGTACAACCCATACAAATCGTGAACAGGTTGCTCTGTCGACGCTCCACGAGCCAAAAAAATGACGATCGATGACAAAACCACATCACACATCCTGACATCATGCATAATTATAAATAGACATGTTGTTAAATCTATGCCACATTCAACTTACCGCTAACGCAATAGCTGACTAAGTGCGGAAATGGAGTGATGGTAGAGAAAAAATGACCACCAACTGGATGACGACATTTATTTATTTAATTGCTTCTAGTAATTGTTTACGTTATGAAAGGAACGTACACAGTGGCGTACCACATTATCATCACTACTGTGTCGTTTCTTGTTTCCTGGTCCTCTCACTATTATCATCATCACTGCGGTTAGTGCATGTAAATAATAAATAAATGAGTCTCTATTAACTTATAATTAACTTCTTTACTCTCACTGAAGTTTTAACTAGTGTCCCCCAGGGCTCAATTTTGGACCCTCTTGTTTCTCTAACTGACGTTACCGATCCCAGTAGTGTTTTAATTTCTCTTATCTCTGTCGCAATGGGAAAAATGGGGTAATAAGAGTCATATGTGAACCCAACTGATGGTTGTAATAATATCCATTATCTTATCTGAATACCGGTATTAAATTTATTTAACATGATTAATAATACTTGGTGCGTTTCTGATTTGTCCTCTCCGCGTCCTTGCGTGAAGACGTGGCTGGAACATCTGAAGAAAATCAATTGAATTCGATACAGCTCTAGCGGGGGTTTATTCAAAATTGAAACGTACAGATGAAATCTGTCGAGGTTAGCGAACGGGGACAGAAGGCGTTAAAAGGCCCCACTTGACAAGGGGTAAATGAGAAAGAATGATGAGATTGAAGAGGCGTTCGTAGTGGTCACCCCTTTAAATATATAAAAAGCTAGATTTTAAATTCTGACGCACGATACAACACAATTTGGTGACTAAGTCGGCAAACAATTCTCTATAAAAAAGCCGCGGATTTTATTATTTCATTGCGTAATATAAGGGGAGATAAATTATTCATAACGTGAAACTCAAAGGGCACGAATCGATGTTTTCTTTCACAATGTAATAATATCTTTATTGTCTAAGGTAAAATGACGTCTAATAACGACTTTCG